CAGGGGGCTGCTGCTGCTCCGACGCATCCACTCTCTGGAGGCAGCAGCACCTGAAAAAGTTGCCATGCAACATGCCAGCCTCTCCCCTGCACATGTGCACACATGTACACGCACACACGGACATGTGAACGCACACCCGTGCACACATACCGCCATGCATGCACTGACATGTAAACATGCACACACGTGCACATTGACATGCAGGCACAGACATGCATGTGCACACGGACACACACACATGGACATACATGTGTGTGCGCACACACACCCCTCCCCACACCACCATTGTCATCATGTCTCCGGGACAGGGGGTGTGGAACTGGCAGGGAGCTGCTGTTTGTTCTCAAGCCGAGCGAGGAGGGGGGAGGTCTCAGGGGAAGGTGTCTCAAGCAGACGGCCGGGAGCCAGGACTCCTGCGGTCTGTTCCCAGCTCCAGCGCTGTCGTCTCAGCATGACCTTGAGCCGACGGGAAGGACGAAGGAGCCAGTGGAGCTCGTGTTGCTGAATTGGCATCGGGGCCCCTTGTCCTGCTGGCTGTGGGTCTCCCCACTGGGGGAGGGTGCTGCAGGCTGACGGACCCTCCCATCCCCGGGTTTATGGTCCAATCCCGATGCTGACCCAGCCCCATGCATGTATGCAGAGCTCGGGTTAGAATTCCTGCCCCACAGAGCACAGGGGCCGAGACACCCCCGGCACGTCCCCGTTGGCCTGCGTGCAGTCAGGCCCTGCACCGGACAGGCCCACGCCAGGGTGGGGAGGGGGCCAGGACGCACGAGGAAGCCACAGGAGGAACTCAGAGAAGCAGCCGGGGGCTTGTCTGGCCTCAGGCAGGTGCCATGGGGCAGAGCTGACCAGTCTGACGGGTGCTGCTGGGGGCCCCGGGCGGAGCTTTACTCCTGCAGGGCTCGGACACGTCACACGTGACGGGCAGAGCTGCGGCGTCTGCCCTCGAGCGGCCTCCCCGCAGGCCGGGGTGAGTTGCCCGGCGGGTCGGTGACGTCTCCTTCTGCGGTCCCTCTGCAGGTTCTACTGGGACTTCACCATGCTGCTCTTCATGGTGGGCAACCTCATCATCATCCCGGTGGGCATCACCTTCTTCAAGGAGGAGACCACGGCCCCCTGGATCGTCTTCAACGTGGTCTCCGACACCTTCTTCCTCATGGACCTGGTGCTGAACTTCCGCACCGGCATCGTCATCGAGGACAACACCGACATCATCCTGGACCCGGAGCGCATCAAGAAGAAGTACCTGAAGACCTGGTTCGTGGTGGACTTTGTCTCCTCCATCCCCGTGGATTATATTTTCCTCATTGTGGAGAAGGGCATCGATTCGGAGGTGTACAAGACGGCCCGGGCCCTGCGCATCGTGCGCTTCACCAAGATCCTCAGCCTGCTGCGGGTCCTGCGCCTGTCCCGCCTCATCCGCTACATCCACCAGTGGGAGGAGGTGGGACGGCCAGGGAGGGGCGTGGTGGGGGTCCCCGGCTGGAGAGATCCAGGGGCTTCAGAAGTCCTGGCTGGGGGAGGGGTACTGGAGGGGTCCCTGGCTGGAGAGATCCAGGGGGTTCAGAAGCCCTGGCCAGGGGAGGGGCGTTGTGGGGGTCGCCAGCTGGAGAGATCCAGGGGGTTCAGAAGCTCTGGCCAGGGGAGGGGCATTTTTGGGGGTTCCTGGCTAGAGAGATCCAGGGGGTTCAGAAGTTCTGGCTGGGGGAGAGGGATTTTGGGGGTCC